CACTATCACCCACTTAGCCTTATGGTCCATGACTTGATTCCTTGAATAAATTTCTATAATAATCCATGTTTTGTGCTTTTTGTGTTCACTTGGATCCCCAAACCTCTACATAGTTTTGACTGTATTTTAAAAGAAGAAACTGTCTCAAACAAAAAATGAAAATAGAACAACATTAATGGCTAAATCTATAATTAGAAAATGTGTATTACCAAAGAATTACTAATGTATTTTAGTCATTATGTCTGTTTATTATATCTACATCTCTCTTCAGATCTACAAAATCGTTTTCTATATGTAAATCAGGCTTTTCGAGCGGTTTTATTTTTACAAGACTATAAAGACAAGAATATGCTCATTTTTAGTATTTGTGCATTTTAAAAATGTATTACGTTACAATTAGTAAAAATGAATACAGGTTTTTTTATGGTAAGTTTATTATTTGATACATAATTCTTGGTAAGTGCCAAATTAAAATTTCAAATTGTAGAATGACTTAAGTCTTCATAGTTTGCTTTGGACTACATTTTCTACAACACAGTAAAATGTTATTAATGAATACAGTATTTTAGGAGCACAAAAGGAGCACCTCAGGATTCACAGCAGCCAACTCTTGTGGAAAGAGTAAGGGCACCGTGTCAGGTCGCTGGGTCAGCAGGGTCCACATAGGGGTTTCTTTAAGTCCCCTTCTCAGCTGTTTTATTGACCTCGTCACTCTTCCAATGACCTAAGGAAAAAAGTTAACTAAACAGTAACACAGAAATATTTTACTTACTTTTCAATTCACTCACAGAATGGAGTAATAATTTCTCAAACAGCCATCTCCTGTTGTTCTCTGTCAAGGGGGGGAGGTCCCATGCATATGCCAGATCCTGAACACGTTTTCTCTCTTCATCTGACAGCTTGGATTGCCCTTCAAGCTGTAACCCATAAGACAGTAATTCAGACAGAAACAAGAACTATAAATTCCTAATTCCTCATACATAAAATTTTAACAAAAGACAAGTTTAAAGTCTCAGACCATGTCTCAATGGCAGAGTTTTTGATCTAGAACAATTTTAAAGGATTAGTCTAGGTTAGACATGTCACTCACAAGGGGCAATGTATAAACGTTCCCTCATTTAAACATAAAAACCTACAAGCTGAATTGTCCCTCTCAGGTCTAGATCTGGACAGTCCTCGGGTGTAACTGTGGCAGTTTCAGGACTACCACCAAGTAGGACATGCACAACGGTTGGGCTAAGTCCAGATAGGCATGGGCCTCCATGAAGAAAGGAGTGCCCTACCATCCTTCCTGCCATAAGGAACATATCACTCTCCACAAGAAAGTGAGATGCTGATGGTATGTAAGTGGAGTAACATTAGCGTTTGCTATGAGATAAATGAAAAGAAAGGGGGAAAAAAAATTACTTCCACACAATACAGAGGTTTTCACAAAATAAACAAACAATTAAGTTATGAAAAGTTATACAATATAATGATCATCAAACATAGGTATGGTCAACCAAAAACAAACTAACCAAAATTGATGCAAAAAGCAGACATCAGCTTCTCCATGCATGTTGATAAGAAAAAACGTATTACTTCTTGTCCGATAGCTGTATCCCCTGTTAGATCACCAAAATAAAATAATGAATACAAATATTTATTTTAAGATATATTTATGTATCATTTTCAGCAAATTTACCGTCAAGCCTGCACTCCAAAGGACGTGCCCATTCAATTTTGGGTCTCTTGTAGAATGAGATTAGGGCCATGTCCTGATAAGCTACAGTTTGTCTGATGTCCATTGTGAGACATAATGGGCTCTCCATTTCATGCATGTCCAAAGCATTCTTTGCACATTCATATATGGCCTTTGAAGAAGAAGAATTGGATTAGAATTGGATATAGTCTGTATATCAACTTCTATCTAGATACTATTACAAAAAGATTATGTTTTATCCTTTGAAGGATTGTCTAAAGTAGTTTGAATATGAGGCTATCAAAAATAAGAATGGATCCATTTGAATGGATACAAACTAATGGTTTGATTTCTGGGATTTGTTCACATTAGCTGTTGATTGTTACTAATCAACACCTTCCTTAAATAACCTGTGACTAAATGATTGACCTACCATCCCTGATTTCACAAGTAGTTCCAGATGGTCCTGGCATATCTGCTAGCCCTTCCTCAATTACTGTATCTTCATGCCCCTTTTCATTTCGTGAGCTACTATCAAAATATGTTGTTAAATTTCAGTCAAGGCTTAAATCCAATGACAATAAAAATTGAAATTTTTCTTGCTAAATACCTTTCTCCACATGAAGAAGCATGCAGCTCAATGAAGTCAGAGGGAAACATATCTGTGCAGACAGGACACTGCTGCAGTGGTGCTGTTGTGCAATAAATTTGAAAGGACAAAGTTTATTTTTATAACATTTAATTTTTCCTTCTAGCTAGCTCTTAACACTTTATGCTTTTGGGTAATATGTTAGTATGAAATTGTCAAAAAACCTACATTCCTTTTCTGTAGGTTCATCACCATCTAAATTCACCACAGTTTTCACACCTTGGCTCGTGTGATTAGGTAAAGGATCAATAGGGGGTCCATGACCGTCTTGGGGACACATAGGGTTAAAATCTGGGACTCTCCACTGATTGCTCTTAGAACTGAAGAAGTTTCTTGAATGAAAAGTCTTCAAGGAAATTTAAAGAAGTCCAGATGCTTCTCTTTCAAACCTCCTTAGACCACGATGACCTGGATGACTGAGAACCTTCACAGACATACTGTAGTTGCATTGTTTTAAAACGTGAGCTTTAAAACGTGCTTCCGATGATTAGTGGTAATAAAACCTGAAAGTGGCCAACAGTGATCACTGACTTTCTTTAGGGGCTTGTTCAGATTAAATAGAACAAGATACAAAGCATTAAAACATGTTAAAAACACAACAGCCTTAATAAATGCAGAGTAGTTTGGACCTGGAAGCAGGGTTAATACTTCATCCCTTAACAACCGGATCTCACTAAGTGCTAACGGTACATGCATTAAGGCCTCTAAACAATTTTTTGGGCTGTCAAAACATGGTGATATGTTGGGCGTTTGAGAGAAAACTACAAGAAAAACAGCAATATTTGGAAAAGTATTGTATAAAATAGAAACTAATAATGAGAAAAGTCTGGGCTTTGGCTCTGCAGTGAGAAATGCCACTCCAAGCAATGCAGCAAAACACAAAAATGTCATGTGTGTTCATAAACAATCTCGAGAACCAGCAAACACACATACACAGGCAATCTTTATTTCCTACAATGTTGTTTGCCTGAGATAGTCATGAGCTTCTTTTGTTTGCGAAACAGCAATCTCTCTTTGCTTGTCTGCCGATGTTATCTATCCAGATAAACACTTGAAATCTTCACTTCAGGTGGGTAAACAGAGAAGTTGACCACAATGTGAAGACAGATGGAACTGATGATATGTTAGCAGTGATAATATTACACTCTCTAGATATTTATGATAAATTCATTTTTGCACTTTGCACTTGCCTTCTTTCTCTGCTGTAATTACATCATGGTCCTTTCTGTTATATGCTGTTCAGTAATAAATTATTAAACTCAGGGACAGACTGGCTACTGGGAATGCCAGGAGCTTTCCAGGTAGGTTAAAGACTCATTTAGAAGGAGAAAGACAAAGCTGTGAGCAGCCCAAGCAAGTCAGCTACGGCGTGGTTCTGGTTATCCCTCTCTCATTTGTTTCCATTATCCTTCCCCAGCAGTGCCCTCAGCTTCAGTCACCTGTCTGGGTCCGACAGTTACACCAGTCCCCTTACCATATCTTAGGTTTTCGGTGATTGTTTTTATGTTCCTTAATAATCCAATTCAGTTTTATTTATATACACTCACACATACTGGGGATAATTTATCTGAATTAAATAATGTTTACACCATCTGCCATTGTCTACTAGAAAGATGAACAAGTCTATGAGAAAGACGTCCAAGCTAGTGAAATAGTAATTTAAAATCATTAATTAAAATTAATGAGACAGAAGCTAAGCTCGTGGCAACATGGCAATTGCCTCAACGCTACCCGAAATTGAACCTCCCCCACCCTCATTCAGATCTGGTGTTTGGAACAATTTTTGTTTTCATGTGATGCATGACCCTGAAGGTAAGCATGTCATGGACAAAAGTAAAACAGTATGTCGAATGTGCCACGCAATGCTCAATTACATTGGTGGGAACTAGTGCATTAGCGCAGTTAGCTCGTTAACGTGTTGACGCCATCCAGCCCCACGCACGGGG